ATAACTTATATTAATTAAATACTTATATTCAATTGTTAAAAAATTAAGTCGAATATAATAACTTATTATCCATTTATTTAATACTAATTGCTAGAAATTTCAAGAAAAGAGATATAGATACTTATTATATTTGTAGATACTTATATATACACATTTGTTCAATTATAATTAATTGTGTTTTCAATTTCCTTATTTACACGAAAACTTGCTCCAATTAACCAACATAAGCTTCTTGGAATCAACAAACATCGATTCGATGCTAATTTCATCGAACGTTATGCATCAAGTTAATTCCATCGAACGCATCGAGATCAAGCTTCGGGTGTCCGGTAATTGTTACGGGTCCACTATTTGTAATTCATCGGTTCCGCGTGTCAAATTTTACAATGCAGGCCTCATTATATTTACAACATAGGAATGCGAGCGTTCCTCCGATCGTCAATGCGCACCGTTGAAACAATTTATAACCATGGTTCTCGGTATAGTATATATGCAGATTCATCGAACGATTGTTATACTGTCGGTTATCAAAATGCAACGACGATGTTGCGCAGACCGCGACCCGCGTGCTGCCTCTTCGCTTTAATTAGCGTTACAATGATCGGGAAATCCCCGGTATCATAGTGATCGGTGTTGCGCGGATAATTACTAACCGTCGACCTTTCCCGCGTATCGTGACTGCAATTTCTGAATTTCCTATGGTACCTCACTGTGGAAGGAAGAAAAACCGGTAATGGACGTTGTTCAACGATTAATCGAATTTCCGGATTTTCGCGCGCCATTGGGATATTTCATCCGTTCGTGCGTGTCGGGCATTTCGAATGACCGAAATTGATGGAAGGAGAAGGTTGATAATTCTTCTGTAATCGAAGCACGTTGTAATATATGAGTTATGCGAAAAATGAATTTATGATTTATTGAAACATGTGATAATGAATTATACGGACTAATTTTTGTAATTCGTCCATGAAAAAATTAATTTTTTCTAACATTCATCATAATCCAAATTTGATATCTAATAATTTTCACCTTTCGAAAGTAAAGAAATGCTTGAAAAGAAAATATTATTTCATGTGATGACGAAGTAAAATTTGTCCTCAAGAAATCGTTTTAAGACTTTTTTTATGAACAGATATAAATATAAAAATTAATATAGCGTTAACGAAAATGTATTGCAGTAAATAATGATTATGTAGAAAAATAAATATATAATTTTAAAAATAAAAAATAAAGATTTATTATTGTTTTCTAAATATGTCTTTCCATTAATTTTTATTTAAATGAAAGAGTTTTTTTTATTATCATGAATCACCTTTCGTACTTATAATCGAATTACTTGAAAACTTTGCTGGAATTAATTGATTGGATTTTTATGTTTTTTTTAAATTTTGCGATCGACAAATTTCTCATTTCTCAATTACAATATTTAATGAAAGAAGAATACAATACTATATCCTATTTTCTTAAAATATTTTTTTAATTTAATAAAGTAATATTATTATTAAGTATCTTTCTTTTAATATCTTTTAATAGAATTAGTATATAATTTTCATAATTTCCATATATACAGTTTAACAAACGAAGAAATAAAAACAAAAATTTTATAGTGAAAATATTATTGGCATATTAATGACTAGTAAATAGTTTAAGATGAGTCGATAACTTACAATTTTTATGTACTATGATATATTTTTTGATCTGTTTTTGATATATTATATTAATATCAACTGTGTCTATAATTTTTAATCAGAATTTTATTTTATAAATTATCCATTATTATTTCTCCTATTTTTTAGAAATTTTTTCACAAGTGAAACTATTAAAAACAATTTCTTTAATAAATTTTTCCAATATAAACAATCATTATATCTTATTCTATTCTTCTATAGTTTTTGCTTTATAAGTAACTAGCTTTCTGTGCAGCTGCACGGCATTCAATGAAAATTTTGGTGATATTATGCATTATTAAAATTTTCCTCCATATTGATAATCTATTTCAAACATATGATCTTTTCTCAAATTTTAATTATTACATTCACACTCTATATATATCTATCCTTTTCATATCCTATATATACTTTAATAAATTCCTTTCTTTAAATTTCTTTCTTTCTGTTTAATATATTCTAAAGATTTTTCATATTAGATGATTTATGCGGCAGTACAACGGTGAGAAATTTAAATAATAGCGTTATTATTCTTCCAAAAAGAAGATATATCATAATACTCGAAATGAAAGCTATTCAAAATAGACCACAATAATAAATGGACTTTATCAACGTTCAAAATAAATGTTTCTTGTAAAACACAAAGGTTTTAATTTTCTTGATTTTTAAATCGAATTCTCATTACCATTCATATTCAATGTGGCTGTTCTTCGCAGATTATTATTCATCGTACTCCAAATCAATCTTAACTTGAAATTCCTCAACGATTTCAAAAAAATGGTATTGAATTGGTATTTCGTCTTTATGAATGTTCAAAGATATTACCGAAGCGCGGGATATTAATTATTGGCGACACGATCTTCTAGTCGCAGTAAATTATGCGGTCGAGTCGAACTGAGACATTTTACTCTCCTTACTTGCCACAGGCTTTGCCGTGATAACTAGTAACCATGTACCAGTAAGCGTCTTCCTTCGGGCATTCTCTGCCAATTTATTACCACCGCTAACGGTTACCGGGAACGATTTTGTTCGCCGGTTTCACGAATGAAACCACTTATCTCCGCCGCTGCCATGCAATAATTCCTCTTTTCTATAAGGCTACTTTAGAGCCGACTGATAGTGCTAACAAAGAGACAGGGGAGGGTGAACATTTTGTTCTCGTTGCATCAGACTTTCCCTTTCCAGGAATTTGCATCTAAGAATCTCGAGTTTCAATGAATCTCGATAATTCAATGAATAAGATGTATTTAGCAAGTTACAGAGATTAGAAATTCATATAGAAAATTGATTTATTTATTCATTCATTTCGTATAATTCATTCATTTTCTACAAAATAGATTATTCAATGAAACTTAATATTTAAATTAATAAACTTTGATATTGATTTCTTTATGTAATTTAATTATTAACGTTTCGTAAAATTTTTTATCATATTTAAATGAAAATGAAATTTCATTTTTTAATATTTTAGTTGTTATTTGAGAAATTTTTTATTAAAAAAAAATCTTTTATTAAAGTATTTATTGGAAAAATATAATGCAGAGCTGAAAAATTGATTTGGAATATCTAATACAGAGGCAAAATACTTTTCATATTCCATAATTTATTATTTATAATAGATTAATAAATATATAATAAAATATTTAGATAATAAATGTTTTTATTATTATAATAGTAATTGATCGATTGATCAATCAGATCTAAAATCAGATCTTTCCGAAGATAAATTTCTCAATAACTTTTGAATTGTATATCATTTTTAAAATTTTTCTCTAATTATATCACAATAATTATGAATCTTTACATAAAATAGTTCATCTAGTTAAGAAAATGAATAAATATGAAAAAAATTTGAAATGAACATAATGAATCTAATAATAAAAAGTATACCAAGACACCGATTCCACAACAATGATTCCACAAAAATAATTGGACAATAAAAAGATTCGCAAAGAATAGCGAGCCAGTGGTGATGTAATTTTATTGCGAAACATAGTTCACATATAATTAATTCATGTAGACCAAAGTATGGCACAACTTTGCACTTCATCTCTAAGGAATTGCAGCAGACTGGCATGGCCTACAGGGCTGAAAGTAAAAGAGGAAGAGGGATAAGGAAGTTCGCTAACTCACGAGTAGCTATGTCGAACGACGTGACGCGGTGCGTGGATGTGTTTTCGCGTACACGGTCGCTTGGCTGTTGCAGATAATTTTGCCGCTGTCTCGAGAAGTTCTCGTATCGCCGCAGGTGTTTACCTCGCGAACGGATCGAAAGGTTTCGCAGACATCCGATACGTAGACGACGCTTGAAAGATAGTTCGCTCCACGCCTTCCGCGATTTCACGCCGCAACGCTTGTCAAATTCCCTTCTCCTCATTGCATTCCATATCATACGATGGTCATACGATGAATTCTTGTCGAAATTTATTGTTCACTGATTATCATATAATAATAATATTGATGATAAGAATGATAATTATAAAATATTTTTAAAATACTCTTACTGGATACAAGCTGAAAAATTAAAAAATTATATACAATTGCACGAATTAATTTTTTGATATTGATAATATATATTTATAAAACGATATAAAAAAAAGTTGAAAAACTTCTTGTTATCATTATCATCTATATTGTTTGGAATTACAAATATCAGAAAATTAATCTAAATAATTCTATACAATTTTTTAATTTTTCATTATATGTGTATATAACAAAATAAATATATATATATAAAAACTATGTATTATACATTAAATATACATTAAAAATATATTATATATTAATTAAATATTAAATTATATATATAATTACATTTACTATATAATATTATGCATTATTATTATACATTAAATATATATATATATATATACATATAAATCAATATAAATCTCTTATAATATAATAATCTTATTTTTTCAAAGAAAATGTTATTTTTATTCATTATAATTTTAATTTTAATTTATTTAATCTAAAACATAAATATAAATAATCTTATAAATAGTTTATATATAATGATATATATTGAAATTATTATTCGTGAAATCATTCAAACACTTATTAATAAAATCAATATGTAAGATATAAAATCATTAATATCATTAAAATCTCATTCATAAAATTTTAAAATAAAATTATTTGAAATTATTTACGATTATATTTAATAGATTTTTAAAACATTGAAAAACATTTTTTAAATAAAATATTATTCATTTATTACTATGATTAAATAATTAAAATTAAAATTTTTGTACAAAATTGATTTTATAATTAAAAAATTAAACTAAACTTTTAAAAATTTTAAATTAATTCTGTTTTTTTTTTTTATTTCAGACATGCTACGAGATGGAGAGGTACCTGAAGGACGAACCGAAACTGCAGTCGTACAAAAAGTTGCCCACAGAATTAGATACAGCACCCTGGAATCTCTTCAGGCCTCCTATTTCGTGGACAGCGACCACTGGCACCGCCAACGCACAATTTGAATCACCAATCAAAATGGAGGTGAGTATCTACATTCAATAATAAAAAAACTTTTCGAGGTCGCTTTTCGAGTTCCATTCACTCTCAAACGTGTCTGGAACCACGTGTCAAAGTTCTTTCTTTTTTCGCTGGTGATCGTGCGATGTAGGTGACGACGTCGTCGGAAGACAGAGAAACGCTCTGCTTGGACGATATTAAGTTCAGTCCTGGTGATCACAACCACAATGGGCGTGATAGGGATCTTCTGGACCGGCACCTCGATTCCTTGTCGATGTCGTCATCGAGTTCGGCGTGTTCTTGGGATAGTTCGCCTTCCGTTTCGTGCACGGCGTTCATTCTCAAGAAAGAGCCCAGCGAGGATCTCGAAGAGGACGAGGAGCACGAGGTGCGTCCTAGTCGGATTTGCATGTCTTTCGAATCTTTTGCTCCTCATTTTTTCCTTTAAACGAATTTATATATTTTTTTTTCATTTATACTAGAGTTTTTTATTTTATATGTATTAATGATGTCTTTCCTTCAATATACATAATTTTTACTGTACATGATGATTCATCAGATGTTTTTATTTTATGTTATTATTATTATTGATAGCAAATTTTATATTTTTCAATGATAGGTTTCAGAAAGAAAGATATATTCTGATGTTATGCAATGGTCTGATGTATTTTTTTTTAGATGAATATATAAGAAAACATATGAATTATTAATGTTTTTTTAAATAAGATTATAGAATATTTTTGATTGTTTTAGTTGATATAACTTGATATTTTTAAAAAGAAACTATTGTTTCTGTCAAAAAATCATTAATTTAAAAAATATTTTAATTTAAATTAATTTGTAAAATTTATTATATGAAAAATAAACAAAATATGTAGAGTATTTTTTATCTTTCATATGGTATATTTTATAAATTTTAAGTTATAATAAAATAAATATCTTCTAAACTAATGATTTTTAGACATAAGATAAATATTTTTTTTAGAAAATTTTAGAGAATTAAATTGTATTAACTGATGCAATAAAAAGATCTCATTAAAAAAAATATTAATATTTTCTACGCATTCTCCGATAAAAAAAACTAATAACATTAAAATATGTTCTTCCTGAAACCATTCAATTTAATAGAAATTTATAGGAATATTTTTTGTTATGGATCATAACGGCCATGAAAATTATAATAGTAATATGAACCATTCTACATATTTGTGTATTATTTCAGATTTTATCTGGATAAAATCTAAATTGTTCGAAAAATTCGATTTAAATTTTTTCTATGATATATATAAAAATTTCTTAATTATTATTATTAAATATTTTGAATGCTCTAATTTAACAAAATGTCATATAAAAAGAAGTTGCCTTTAAAAAATATATAATTAATAATACATTAGTCTTTTATATCAAAAAAGAATTAAAATAAATTAATTTCAGAAATTAATAGAAGCATTAATAGAAGATGTAAATTAGTTTTCAAATTCCAAAAATTAAAAAATTTAAAATATATAAAATACATCAATATTGTTTTTGTTTAGTTAAAATATTCTAAAATAAAAATCATGTATTTTTTATTTTCTAAAATATGTTATATATATATTACAATACTTGGAAATTCAGATATCTTTTAATTTTTAAATAAAATTTTATAAAGAAAACTTATATGAATTTCATAGAGATTTAGAAATTATTTAATTTATCTTATATTTATCTTTAAAAAAGAAGATAAATAAAATGATAAATATTAAACGAAGAAGGAGAGAGAAAGTTTTAATTAGAGAAGAATATAAAATCATAAAAATGATAAAATAAACATGAAATAATACATAACTATATTTATAGCAAAAATTATAGAGATTAAAGTGTAAATATTTCTAATATACCATTAAATATCAATGTAATGATCTTTCAATAAGTTTCAAAATCAAAACTCGAATCAAATGATTAAATTCGCATTTCCATGAAAATAACGTTCAAAATTAATTATTGCAAGTGGAATACATGTCGCGACAAGAACACCTGCGTTTATGGTTCTACCCCACTCTTTTTCAGACAGCTATGTCGTTTAGCGGCGTACAATGCCCGTCAAATTTCAATTACCGTCAAACACCAGTGTTATATACAAATTACGATTCTTTCCATTTTCCGCTGTGAGTCGCGTAAATCCTGTATACCTTGTGTAATTCGTGCACACGTGTACACACACGCCACGCATTTATGTACGTTGGATTGTATGTAATCCGTTTACGGGGTCATTTGGCATTGATCGATTCGTGTGGAGCCACGTTGGTATCGATGTTCGATATCGTTTTAACCAGTTGCTTGCACTTTAATCAGAAACTCTCCCTTCCCTCCGTTATCGTAATCCCGTTGCGTAATGAATTACGTTACCGGCACCAGGAAATCGAGGAGGAAGAGGACAGTGGATGCGAAAGCGAAGGTCAAATCCTGACACCACCATCGAGTCCGGGCTCGGGTCAAGGTCATTCCAACTCCAGTCACTCGTCGAGCGGGAGTTCTATGCTCGACGTACAGAACCTCAACCTTCATGGGACGGGTGGCAGGAGCGCTATCGTCAGGGTTACTACTAGCAACGCACAGGGTGTCGCAAGGTAAATGATTTTCTTCTTTCTTTCTTTCAAATTCGCTATGTTTTGAATATTATTATATGCTTAAAAAATATTGATATATATAATTAATCATAAAACATATATATATATATATATATACATATATAAATCATATTAAATTGTAACTCTATTTTTAATTAATTTTTTATTTTTATTGAAACTTTGTATAATATAAAAAATAATGAAAACTAATGTAATTTTTTTTTAATAAAAGATCATTTTTTATGTTTTTGCATTTTTTCGTATCTTTAAATATACAAACTTTGTAATATATAATTTAGAATAAAATTTTAAAAATGAAATGATTTTAAATATGAAATTTAATATTATTATTATTATTCTATTATAGAAAGTATTAAGAAATTATATATAAAATATGAAAATACATTAAAATTTTAATAATTTCATTCTGTCAATATAATAAAATTACACATATAATCTATTACGTTTTATATATACAAAATTTTTTATTAAAATCAGAATTTTCAAATTAGTTTTCAAATTAATTTTCTTATGAGATATTGTAAAAAGATTTTTGTGTCTATATATGTATATATGTATATATTGATTTATATTGATATAAGATGTGATAAATAAGAACTAAATATTCTTATACAATAAGATAAAATAAGATTAAATATTTAATATATATAAACAAGAATAAAAAAAACAAACGAATATGTATATATATTATTGAAACTTGAGATGGAATTTTTAATAAAATTAACAAAATAACAATATAAATACAATTATAGATATGTAATATATAAAATATGCAACTAAATACAATTAATAATACAATTAATAAATACAAATAAAAATATAAAGATTAAAATCTTACATCTATAAGTAGTTATATTTAAAGTTACATTTTTTTGTAAGAAGATAATTATTTTATTCATTAAATAAATAAATAATATGGTTTTTGAATTAGTTTCCGTTTCACTATAATATATAATAACTTTAAGAGATTTATATTATAGAATTAATTATAGAATAAATAGTATTTATAGAATTAATAATAATTAATAATAGAATTAATGGAATAATAGAATAATAATATCGTGGTGAACTATTCATCGCTTGAAATAACATACATACAGTCATACATAACATACAATCCAATATCGAGTTATTACGTTTTGCTTTACAAGGTGTTTTAAAGGGTTGTATTTCGTAGAATTAATATTAATATGATAAAAGTGATTTTGAAATTAATTACTATAAATACTTTTGCTTTGAAAGAGGAGAATATTTTTGAAACATCGATAAAGAAAAGAATCAATTAAAAATTTTATTTGGACAATATTCGAAAACTCCTCTCTTTTTTATGTAAACAAAAAAAAATAGGAACTTATTTCATAAACTTAAACAATATATAAGTACTATAAAAAAAATATTATAAATAATATTTCTTTAATAGCTAACATTTTTTTAGATTATAATTAATTATAACTTTTCTCGAACTTGTTGGATCGGCTTACTTTGAATTTTAAAAAATTTTAAAAAATTCTGAAATAATTATTAAAGTTGTTACATGAAATATTTAAAATTTTCTTCAATAAAAATAAAAATTCGTGTTTCAGAAATATAATATTAGAATTTCCTTTCAATCCTCAATAATCGAGATTATTTACAAGATTAAATTATTAATATCTTAATCTAATAATTAATACTTTTAATCGTGATCATAAAACATTTTAATTAAACTTTTATAAAAATCTTTTAAATCCGTCAAATCATCGTACGAGATTAAAAAAGATTTAAAAATCAATTATAAAAAATTTCTTGACAATTTTTCACACATATTACAATTTGAAATGTAAGAATGCAAAATATCTATATTGTTCTTCTTACAGACTGATCTCCGTCACAGCGAATGGCTACCCTGCAGTTGCAGGCACGCAACATGCACATGCAGGGACAACTGCGGCTGCGAGCACCGTGGCTAATAGGCACCATGCGAGGAGTCATGAGCACAGTCCGCCTGATACGAAGCGCAGGATACACAAATGCCAATTTCCGGGTTGCAAGAAGGTATATACCAAGAGCTCACATCTGAAAGCTCATCAGAGGACGCACACAGGTGAGTTCTTAACTTTTTTCCAAGATAATACCAGTTGCCAACGATCGATTAGTTTCTGATTAGAGTTAAAAAAAAAGGTAAGAAGCGTAATGGCAAAAAGTTTGACGAAACAGACCAATCAACAGTGTGTTGGAAACGAAGAGCTTTCGATTAACATTCCGTGAAGAATTTCTTCATCAAATAATTTAATTTTCCTTTTTCATTGACCTTAAATAACTGTTATTAATGAATGAAGAATTATAGAAGAATTCTTGAGACGAATACCGTTAAGTTATTCTTTTACAAGCTATTTATTTATTATTATTATTTATTATTCGTTGATTTTTAAATAATCCCAAATAAATTTGCGAAAAATTCCATTAATTATAACAATCTAATAATTGATACTAATAATATATATTCATGCGATTGAGATTGCATATCTCAACTTACATATCTAAAAAATATAATTTTAGATTTTGGATATCATTTATTTTATCTCTTCATCCATTTACGTAGAAACATAATTTTTAATTAGCATGATAAAATTCCGTTTATATCTAAACATTTGAAAAGATAAAGTGATTCACGTACCATTTAACTCTGATAATATAAATATGATATTTAAAAAATAAATTGAATATGATTATTTTATTTTTTTTTAACTAATATGTGACTTTATTTAACTCTTCTTTCTTCAACATATATAAATCCATTATTTATTTTTATTATATGAACCAATCAAAACTTTTGTTATTATTTAATTTTTATAAATAATTTATTTTCCTAATAATTAATAATGTCCGAAATATTTCTAAAGAAAAAAAAAACATAAAAAAAAATCGTTATGACCAATTCACTATTAAAAATAAAAATAATTAATATAATTGAATTGTTTCGTGCATCTAATCTATTGTTACTATTTATTTTAAAATACAATTAGATAGAAATAAATAATAATATACATTTGCTACAAGAAATCGTAATTTATAATTTTTATTCCATTGAAATTAAAGCAATAGAAATTTATTTAAAAATTTATATATCACAAACTAAAAATTTACTTATTCATATAAATAAATTCCTTTATTAATTAAATTTATTCATTATAAAAAATGTATTTTACATAAAGTAAATTTTTTATACATTATATAAAGTAAATTTATTCATATAAAGTGATTCAAAAGCGAATTTTTAGAATAACAAATATTCATATATAAATTCGTATATCTTATCAAATCATTTTTTCAATGATCTTTATTCACTCAAAATTCCAAAATGGTCTATTCTTGTATCTTTTGCTACCGATATTTTTAGGCAATTTTCCATATAACTTAAAATTAATGAAATTTGTCAATTTCCTTGAAATTTATGTATCAAAGTCTTTTTTTTCAAATATTTTTTTGGTCAAATTCTTTTTTTCTCACAAATCCATGCATCTTATTGATGCAATTTTTTATTTTCTTTCATATTTATATCTAAATACTTTTTATTCAAATCTTTTTCTAAATACTTTTCTGTGAATTTCTTTTTGCAAATGCATATCTATTTTCATTCTTCACCCGAATCCTTTGATAAAAAAAACACATTCAGAATAATTAGCCATAGTTGGTCTAAATCTTTGATCATCTGAATATCTGTGCAAAAATATAATATAAAATCTGCAAAAATCTTAAATTTGCAATTAAATTTATATCTATAAAAACGAAAATAAAAAAATTTTCATTGAAATTATCTAAATAACAAATTTTGATCTGAATTTTAAGTGTTAATAAAAAAGATTCAATCTCAATCAAAAATCAAGTTGTTCATATAAATGAATTTCTATTATATAGATTTTTGTTTACTAAATAATCAGATTCATTCATTTCTTTCAATGACTGGTTAATAAGAAATCTTTCTATTCTTTTTACCAACATTTATCATTTCTTTCCGCAATTAAGATAACGCACGTATTCAATTATCGAATACACCACGTTGCTCATTAATAAACGTTAGACCATACGTCTGTCTCTGCGCGATATCGCTCGGTAATTTCGCGCGCTTCACGCGACACCGCGCGCCCTTTCTTCGCAATTCAGTTAATCGTTAGTCACGCGATTATCCCCGACGTTTGTCGGTGGAGGGGAACGAACGAGAAACAATCGCGGACGTATCCCGTTGAGCGGCAGGGGATAAATTTTCCAACGCATTCCCTGCCTCCCTTATCGCGGCAAATAACAATGTATAATTAATTACGAAGCTGAATTAAGGAAGGTTGTGTTCGGGCTCGTACCACGGGCTTGGTTACTCGATTCGTGTATACGCAGCCGGATGAATGCACAAGGCCCACGTGTGCGAAACCGGATGATACATGTTTAATAGCATCTAAGGTAATCTCTATCCCTCTTGTTTTCTTCGATCAATGGAAGGAAAAGGGAATATATGTTGTTTGCTTCGTGGTATTAAACTTAAGTTGCACTTATTTCTTGATGAGAATGTAATCGTTTCTGCGGTAAAGATGTTCGTTTTAATCGGATTTCGATACGATAATTGGTTTTATTTATCTTCTTTGAGGAGTGAAATATTATATGATTTTCAGAGATTATGGTTTTGTTGTTGTTGTGAAAAAAGAAAGAAATTGAAAGATATGAGTTTTATGAAAGTTGATGAATCAGTTTCTATAATTTGCTTTCTTAATGTGTATAGATATATTATTATGAAACTTATTTATGAAAACTAATTATATTCTTGTTATTGTATTTCGATATTGTATAAATTGATTTTATTTATCTTGCTGCAGAATAATATTGGTATTACGAGATAACTTTAAAGACTGTTATATTATATTATTATAGTTTTTATTCTAATGAGAAAGGAAAAGAAATTGAAAATTTTATAAAAATCGATGAATTAATTGCTATAAATTGCTTCTTTAATAAATAATATATTTTTTTAAATTTTTGTTTGAGAATTGAATGTAAATATTTTCTGTATTTATCAATACTATTTTTCGAATACGTAAATTTTAAATAAATCATTTGCCAAAATAACTTTTAAATATAGTTTAAATATATAGTTATTTTTAAATATATATAGTATATTCTTAATTATTCTTAAAAATAACAAAGAATATATTAATTTAATTATGAAAAGCACACAAAAAAATAATGATAGAATAATTTTAGCTTTCTTTTTAATATTAAAAAATAATTAACATTAAATTTATTTTTATAAAATTAATTTGTCGTTATTCGATACCATTTAATAATAAGTATCAATGATTTTTTAACTAAAGCATATATTATAACGTTATTATTATGAATGATTCATCGTGATTTCGATATATTAATTGAAAATTAATAAAAAAAATTCGATATATTAATCCAAAAATAATTCAAATTCTTTTTTTACAATCTCATCATATCGTAATTAATTGAAAATCACATAATATTCGAATGAATATTCTAAAAGTCCTCCAAAATATTCCATTTTTCCGTTTCATTCAAATATTCAATGTAAAAATAAAAAAACTGAATATGTAAGAGATATCGAATAGGTAATATATAAGAGAATATGTAAGAGATATATAATAGGTAATATTTCTAACATAATGTAAATGTTTCATAAATATTATTGTATCACTTTGACTAAGAAACAGACTGAATACGTTATTATCATGTTGCCTTCGCTTCTCTTCGTTTCATTCGCAGTTGGTTGCAGCAGCAGGTGACGACGGAAGATTGTAATTAACGAAGATTCTTTTTTTCTTTTGCCTCTTCCCCTTGATTCAACCCTCTTTTTTTCTTTCTTTTTCTATCTATGGTTTTTGTTACGTCACGCCTCCTGAAACCATTCGGTGAGAGCAGATACGCGTTCAGATGTATACACGCGTAATTATCCATGTGCTTTGAACAATTCTACCCTCATGAAATCACGTCTCATGTTCGTGACTCACAACTATAGGCTATTTTTGTGGAAGTTATGGCGGAAGTGCAGGTGTGGAATACATGAATGTTGATTTTGAATGTTTCTTTCGTTTATCTTCTGATCGATATAAGTTTTCATTTGTAAATTTAGTTTAATTCTTATGCTAATATTTGAAAATAAAAGATAACGTTAAAAAATAAAATTGTGTCCTTTATATTCAAAGCAAAATTTCATTTTTTAATTTTTAAAGGAATTCTTATTTAATTAAAGATATATTATTTGATTTATCTGCATGAATAATTATATGAAAAGAAATATAATATAAAAATTTCACTAAGTATTTCAGAATATTTTTAGATTTCTTGAGGATTTCGAACAAAAAAAAAAAAAATAAATTGTTGACATAAATTACGTAGATTGTGCGAAAAAAAATTCTTGCATACGGAAGATTAAGATACAACTTTCTTTTCAAAAGATTTTTCTAATTGAATCAAATCTAAATGGATAATTATTATTTACATTTTATATTATCATTAAATAATTGAAATTAAAAGTTGTACAATTTGAATATTGAAAAGAATTTGAATTTTTAGGAATATTCTTTTGAAACTAGACTTGTTATAATTTTTTGACAAATTTTATTTATTTTCATATATTAATAGAATACAACAAATTAATAAGATATTCATTCATGAAATGCGATTTCTATTTCAACTTAAAATCATACTTCAAAATGACATATTTGAAACTGTCAAACTGTCAATCCAAAATGATGTTTCAGAGAATAAAGCGAAATGGAAGTAAAATTAGTCGAATTCGATTCGACATAAATTCTTCCACGATAAAATACACCATTGACGTGGCCGTCAAATATTTAACCACGCGATACATTTCCATGCACCGTGTCTTTCATAAATTTATCTCGAAATCCGTTCTATCATTACATCGTATCCTGGCCATGTTTCGCCTTCGGGCACAGGCGCTCTCATCCTCATAATATCGTACATACAGGGTGATTAAGCATGTATATGTGTCCACATATATTTGCTCACGTAAATAGTTATACGTGCGCATACGGCTGTCTTCATATGTGTTTATTTACCTATCCGCAT